CGAAAAAACATTTCTACCATTTTTATGGGAATTTCTAGATGATCTCAATCTAAAAACGATCAAGAATAACATCTACAACTAACGTAATTTTTCTTATATTCCAGCACCTAATTTGAGATAAGAGCCTCTACATTCATATTAATAACAAAAAAAACAATATTTTTTAAACGACAGTAACCAATAAAATAGAGGGTAGCACAGGATCGAGTCGACTTCAATAAAAAGAACTCACTTCTATTCTCGCGAACGATTAATTTAGAAATTCGAAAAGATTATTAAAGGTGTATGTCTGGACCGTGGTGCTGTACGGGTGCGAAACACAGATGGTGGGCACTGCGGGAAAGATAACATTAGAAGCTTTCGAAATGTGGTGTTACAGGCGAATGATGAGGATACCGTGGATAGAGGTTAGAAATGAAGAGGCATTAGAAAGAATAGGAGAACAGAGGACTCTATGGAAGTCAATAAAAAGGCGACATAGATTGTTAAGATACTTTTTCAGGTTTGATGTTCTAATCATATTAGAGGTAGAAGCAGGAGTTATAAGGAGTAGAGATAGAGCTAGATTAGATTACTTTTCGCAAATTGTTAAGGATGTGGGATGTTCTAGATTTAAGGAAATGTGAAGATTAGCTTGGGGGTGCGTGTCCAACCTGTTTTAGGATTGACGACCTTATGATGATGAATAAACAAACAAAATATAAATACTAACCATTTTATTTTATTTTTTTGATACGATTCGTAAATAAAAAATATATAATACACTTTTACTATATGTACATGTATATTACACGCATCTTAAGAAAAATAAATTGTATAGCAAAAGAAATAACTTTGTTCTTTAGAATTAAATTGCATATTTAAGACGTGAGAAGGTACTATGAGCAAATCACCCACAAAAACCGACCATCGTTGGGGCGTTTGATGTAGCAAAATTATACGTATCGTAGTTATTAATGTCATTACCATCATTCGCAATAAATGGTAACATTGTGAGTATTACATATGTAGTAGTCGTTATTGGGGATTTTTTTTATATTTTTCTTCTTTTTCAATTATCCAGGCACTTATTGTGTCCATTATCTTGTTTTTAGCCCGTTTCAATTGGTCGGAATCGGAATCCCTAATCGAGTACAAATCGGCAGAATGCGAGGTACCGTTAACAATAATTGTAACTGTATCCTCATTTAAATTTTTCTCTAATCCCAACTTGGACCACGGATCCACAGTGCCTTGACATGTAACGAGTCGTGTTACTTTCGGTTTTTTACCACCGTAAAACAAATTTGTTCGTTCAGTTCCATTATTGAGTGTGTATGAATCAAAACTAAAAATTACTTAAATCATAATCGGATTTTTTAACGATAGAATTAGGTAAAAATTTGCTGGAAATCTTGCCTAACAGAAAGCACTGTTGTAAGAAAGGCGAACCATAACTGTAATTCAAAATTCTTTACTTACTCTTTTCCAAAAATGTCTTTGCACATTTGATAATACAAATCTACAGTGAATGCACCGCCAAAACCGCGCGTTTGAAACCAACCAAATTCAGTACATGTTTGATACATCCATTGGCGCTCTTAAATAAAATGAAAATAAGAAGTAACAAACGCTTTTTCGGAAAATAAGGAAAAAATGTACTTAACATAAAATACCACCGCCTTGGATGATTAGCATCTAGGAAGGTCAGTTAGTAAGGGTTAGTCTCAAATAAAACGGAAGCGATATTGACTGAAGGTTATGGTATGAAAATAAATAATGTAAAACAAAAATATTTATATGCAAGGGATGAAAAAGTGGAGAATGAGCTAATATATGATACAGAGATGAAAAAATAGAAGTTACTGATTTTCAAAGTCTATAACCAAAGAGTAATACAGTTCGAGTCGACTTCAACAAAAATATTGTTAAAGGTGTATGTTTGGGCCACGACTCTGTATGGGTGCGAAGCGTCGATGGTGGGCGAAGCGAAGATGCGTTTGAAATGTAATATTACAGGTGTTGTGTATTGGGGGAAGATTTTTTTTTTATTTATATTCATAATTTGAATACCCACCATCATCGGTTGCTCCCTTTTTCGTTGCAGAAAGATATTCTACAGCACCATTATAAGAATAATCTATACATCCTTTGCTTGGTCTTACATACTTTGCAAATTTTTCCACATCAGATCCTGTTTGATTTTCGAGGGCTCTACATGCGGCCACCACATCTCCAGGTTGCGCACTTTGAACTACGCTACCAAACTCGAATGGAATAGAGCTAAGAAAATAAGACCTATCTAATTCTGATGAACCATTTACAGTTTTGCAGGAACTGAAAAAAGTATTTCATATTTTCATTATTAAGTAATTATTGCATCAGTTGAAGGAAGACCCACCGAAACAATTTTGATACGTTGGCAGAACCATTTCGAGTTTTTAGCATTTCAGTTACTTTAACCATGGCACTTTTGATTAGTTTTGGACAAGAGGGAGAAGCAAGACGTAGATTTTCTTCCACAACTTCATAATATTCTACAAAAAGATGGGCGACGGTTTTACGTTTTGTATTGTTGCCAAAGTATGCCTGACGTGACAATCGATACGGGGAATATTATGATGGTTTTTCCGAAAATATCAACAACGTTCGATAAATGTAAAATATGTGTCAGGTCTCCGGCAATAGTCAATTGATTTAAGTCAGGTGCATACCAGAAGTTTAAACGGCATTATAAATTCAGTCCAAAATACATAACAATTTAATTCAACTCCGACGGAAACGCACTAATATTTTTCTTGTTTATTATACATATAATTTGTTACAATTAGGGTAAAAATGTAAATGTTGGAAGTGATTAATTTTTTAGCAAATTCATTTAATCGACAGCTATGTGCAAACAAAGCAGAAAATAATTTAAAGAGAATATTTCCTTTTCCAATATTTCTAGCGTTCTTTTTCGAATCAGTTTTTATTATACGAGGGTGGATTGATAAGTTTCCGGCCTAACCAAGAGATGACGCCACTAGGCCTACCTTGAGGTGACATTCTATAGTACCATCCTTGGATAGCTTGTAGCTATAGTTTCAGCCCGATCTCCTTGCTAGTGTAGGTTTGACAGCACGCTGAACAAGACGCCTCTGTGGTTTTCGTAAAAATGGAAAAGCAGGAAAATCGTGCTGTCATCAAATACTTTTATTTGAAGGGGTTAACGCCGAAGGAAATTAAAAAAGAGATGGACTCAACACTGGGGACATCCTCCCCGTCATATTCAACCGTTAAGCAGTGGGTTTCCGAGTTTAAAAAGGGTCGTGTGAGCACCTCTGATGGGCCTCGCTCAGGACGCCCCGTTGAGGTCACAACTCCAGATATGATCGAAAAAATTCATCAAATAGTGCTGGGAGACCGCAGATTGAAAGTGCGTGAGATAGCTGAGACCTGTAAGATGTCATATGAACGTGTGCAACATATTTTGCACCAACATTTGCATATGGAAAAGCTCTGTGCAAGATGGGTGCCGCGTTTGCTAACAGTCGACCAAAAATTGATTCGAAAAAACATTTCTACCGCAAATTTGTCATTGTATAAGCGTAATCCAAGCGAATTTTTGCGTCGATTCGTAACCGTTGACGAAACGTGGGTCCACCACTACACTCCTGAAACCAAAGAACAGTCTAAACAGTGGATTGGACCAGGGGAACCAACTCCAAAGAAGGCAAAAACAATTTTTTCGGCGAACAAGGTTATGGCTACTGTTTTTTGGGATGCAAGAGGTATTATATACATTGATTACCTTGCAAAGGGTAATACTATCACTGGTCAATACTACGCAGACTTATTGCAACGTTTGAGCCACGAGGTGAAAATTAAACGACCTCATCTGGCGAAGAAAAAAATCTTGTTTCATCACGATAACGCACCAGCGCACACGTCAATCGTTGCGACGGCTAAAATCAACGATCTAAAGTTTGAATTGATGCCGCACCCTCCTTACTCTCCAGACCTAGCCCCGAGTGACTATTTTCTGTTCCCTAATCTCAAAAAATGGCTTGGCGGTAAGAGATTTGCGGACAATGAAGAAGTAATCGAAGCTGTAAATGGTTATTTTGAGGAGCTTGACGAATCAGTCTATAGAGATGGCATTAATAGACTGGAACACCGCTATGAGAAATGTATCAGCCTTGGAGGAGATTATGTTGAGAAATAAAAAAAAAAAATTTTTAAAAACCTTGTTTTTCTTGGTCAGGCCGGAAACTTATCAATCCACCCTCGTATGTATGCAAATATTGTTACGTCTCTTTCTTTACCTGTAAAATCTGCTTTAGCATATAAAGGACCACTGGAGGAATAAGCAATATCTACTATATGAGGATATTTTATTCTTGCCCAAGTTGCTAAAGCCCCTGCGTATGATGAACCCTCAACGATCACCTAAAGGTTATCGGAAAACTAATTTTTTGTTTATTTATGTTTGATACAGAAAATTTATTTATTCACTTAATAATGAAACGTAAAGTTGCTACTACGTCTTAACTTTTAAAAATCAACTCTTGTAAAATTTTAATTTATTGAATATATCAGGATGGCATACATATTAGAAAAACATGGCGGAGGTGCTCGGCATGTTATTCAATAAAAAAAAGGATTAGTACAATGTGCTAATAGCCACTAAAACCTTTACTGGAATATCGTGATCACATAGTCAACAAATAATAAAAATCGTTTCAAAAGTTTAGAAGAAAATCAAAGTCATACGTGGTACTTCATAACAAATAAGTAAATACTTATTAAATTATCATATATCTAATTAAAAGGATGATTTTCATGTACGTTGTACTGAGTAGCAGTTTAATGTGACGATAATCTTTTGAATTGGGCCGTTTTTGAAAATTATTTTTCTATACTAGGTATGTATGTAGTTACCAACTAATACTTTTGTTCATTTGGTACTCACTGTACTGTTTCGAAGTCCTGGTGTGTTTTGCTTTTGATACTCAATGAAATACACAAGGTCTGCTAGAGCTTGATCAGCAGATAAGTATTTTAAACTGTCGACCGTTAAGTCGCTATGAAATAAACAATAAATTATAAGAACATAAGTTTTCACTACAAGTTAATAATGCATTGTAATTAAAAGTATAATCCTATTGAATGAAAGGTGAGCGAATTGCGAATGTGAAAATGGAAAATGCCCTTTATCTAATTTGAATCTTAGTAGATACACATTAATGAATGTAAATTATTTTTACCCTATTGGATAACTGCTACCGTAAAATCTGTGCTCCGTATAGAATAAAATGCCTTTATGTAATCGAGCCATGTCAAACATAAGCCCTGACGTAACCCATCTTGATGTAATATTCCATTCGCCCCCTATATACAAGAACATGGGGCGCCCTTCTTCATAAAAGTCGGTATTTTTTACATATCTCTAAACAAAGCCTTACATTAAAAAATAAGTGACGATAATTTCCAATATTTTATTTGACCGATAACATTTGTTCAGATATTGAATAATGAGATTTTGAGAAAAAAATTATTCGTTTTATCTTTTAAATCGAATTGATTAAAAAGTGCAGATTCTGCTTTTGGCATTTCATATGTACTTAGCAGTTAAAATTAATTTATTTTACCATTTGCCACGTTCTGTTGTCTGCAGGGTCGAAATGGTCAACCCTTTGTGTAAAAGTACCCCATTCGGGCGAAGTTCTAAATTCAGGCTCCTCGGGCGGCGGTATACGATGACGGAAAAGGAATAATTTTCCCTAAATAAATTAATTTATTACTGTGACGAAATAAGAAAAAAATCATTTGATTCGTTGCATTCCCGAGTAGAAAATAAAAAGGGTAGGGATCCGGATCGGATCCGGCATCCCAGCTACCCTATTAATCAATCAATCAATACGTAAATCTCGGCAGGGCCGGATAAAAAATGTAACGACTTTAAAAGGCAGGTCCGGACCTTATATGATCCATATCAGGGTACCCTGTTTGATCCTGACTAGGTTAACCTACATGGAGCAAATAAGGATATCTTGTAAAGTCCTGACTAGGTTCATCTACACCGAGCGTATTAGAATATCCTGTATGGTCTTGACCTGATAGATCAAGATTAAAATAAGGTTCAAGTAATTACAACTAATTATTTGTAATTAAATATTTTTTGTTTATTAATTTTTAGAATATAAAATTTTGAACTTACACACTCAAACTATGTAAGAATGTAAGATCGTATTATAATAGTTAAAGTCCATTGGGTCGAGAAATTAAAGTTCAATAATACATATTGTCAAAAAAGCATCAGGACGAGTAAGGGGTTCCCTGAAAAGATTACAATAAAATAATTTTATCAAGACCGTACTGGGAAAAATTAAGAATTTCGTATAGGTTTATAATACGGCAGTCAAGTCAGGGCCGGATCGGAATACCCTAATAGGGCTACGATAAGACAACGAAGTCAGGGCCGTATCGGGATAGTTAAGGGATTTCATAACAAGGGACTCTTTTTACTACCTGATCGGGACCTTATATAGATATCGTAACAGAACATCTCTACTACAGCTTGATCCGTTCCGGATGGCTATTAGGGCTACCCGTTTCATTTCTACTCGGGAAACTTCTGCTACTTGAATTAACTTGATCGAAAATTTTTGTATCTCGTAATGACTTTCTATGTCAATAATTCAGGCAAGTCACATGCATTTACCGTATGAGTGGTATAA